GTTTGGTAAAACGTGACGTCACGCGCAAATGACGTATGTGGCTTACGTCACTAACGTAAATATTCATAACCCAGTTTGCTAGTCCCAGTTAATGTAAGTTTTTGTTACGTCATTTATATGAAAATTGTTTTTTAACTTACAGATGACATTTTTTTATTTCAGTTTGATAATTCGGCTTTTTTTAATTTGGTTTGTTTTTAAAATGACCAATTTCTTGTTATTATATTTAACTGGATTTTATTATAGAAACTTATTGAATGATTGAAAATCGATATTGTTTGTGTGTAAATGAAATTCGACTGTCGAAACATTTGTATTGAAACATGTTTTCATATAGAATTGTATGTTTTTATACAAGTTTTTCGCCAGTGGAAACAAGCTTGGTTTAACCTTTTACTACCTCATGTTGAATATTTTCGGCTTGCTATTGAATAATTTAAGGTCGTTTTTGTATTTGAATGTGTGATTATAATCACAAATTCCTTTTTACAATATGTTTAATTTATTTAAATTTAACAAAAATAAGATATAAAATGTATTGTATGTGTTAAAATATCTAATATGAATACTATGCAAGCACAATAACATGATAGTTGGATGTACTGTGATGTCATTAATTCAAGTTATTGTATGGATAGTATTAACGCATACAATACATTTATTTACGTTTAATATTTATGATAAATTTTATTTATTGTTATAAATTGTTTATGTACTTAATTTTATATTTTCTTAAATATTGCAAATCATTTAAGAAACGAAACTATTTTTAAACGCATATATTTTGAAACTTATTATAATGAGAAAGAATACCTTTTGAACCCTAAATATTGAAATTACCGTCAAAAAAATATTTCTTTACTATAACTAGTACCAACCTAATGAAAAAAAATCCTCCATCTTTAAAAAAAAAAATTTCGAAATGTAACGAATCCACTAACCTAAAAACCTTGACTAGTGTACAATTATCTACAAAACTTGTTTAATCAAGGGTTAACCCTTTGTGTCATAACTATTGAAGTTTTTGGTACTTAAAGTGTTGGTTTTACAATAGTATAGTAATTAATTGAATTAGGTAATTTTGTAGATATTGTAATACTGGCCTCGATCGCAATCAAGTTGCAGTCTTCCGCAAGATGGAAACAGAAAAAGCAATAAATAAATTTAGAAATAATTTAGCATTGATGTTATTGAATAATTTAGAGTTTTTTTGTAATGTTTAGCTTAATGTAAACTAGTATCAATGATAATGTAGGATTTTTGGATTGTCTATGCATAGAGTTCAAAGTTTTTTTAATCTGTATTCCAGATATACCATAGACAACAGTTTTATTTCAACGTCCTTGTTATTCCTATTATGAAATAAATGTCTCGTGACATTACCAAAGGGTTCAATGTAATTTAAGATTGTTTTTGCGAATTATTTTACTAAATCGACGTTTAAGTACAATTTTTTATGCAAGTTTAAAAGTGAGATCAATCGAGCTCATTGTTTAATCTGTGTGACAGAGATAGCAATAAGAGTAAGATAAAAGATATATTTATATAATGTAACTTGTGTGTTTTTGAATATTGTGTTAGATGTAATTGTGTCGGAATTTCACTAATGTTTGAAAACTGAGATATGAGAAACATGATTGGTTATAGTTCTACGGACTTATCTGGCCCGGTGAGAGTTATTAATTGCGGTTAGATGCGTGAAAAAATAGACCTACTTAGGCATGAAAAACTACAGAATGGTAGTTGATGGTAGTAAATGAGGTTGATGGTGTACTAATTTCTTTTTCATTCATTTTTTCCGGGCCAGAAAAGTTTGCCGTACTCAGGATATATTAGTGAAGTTTCTTAAAGTAAGATAGGTCGATACGCACAAATTTTAGTGTAGTGATTAAAATGTATGTTGTGTTTGTTTGCATTCGGAAATCCGTCGCATCCGAAGCGATCGTAGCTTGAGTATAGTAACCCCATTAAAATAAATGTTTTATATAGTTTGACCAGAAAAATGGTAAACTGTACAAAAAAAGGATTTTTTTTAAAGGAATTGAGGTGACAAATATTCTATTTTCCTGGTCAGGTTATAATTAGATTTCAATAGATTTAGGCAACAGTCTTAGAATAGTATACAACGAATGTAACTGAAATTGTAAACCCCGAGATAGACAAATATTTAGACGATAGGTGATTTTTCCATAATTTTTAAAGGTTTTTTTTTTATGAATGTCGTAGAGATATTTTATGGCAGGAAAAAATTCTGTTAAGATTTCTTTTGGGTTTACTGTTTACTGAATTTCTAAAGAGAAAATATTTATTTAGCTTTGATTATTGGAATTATCAGCGAAATCTATAAAAAGGTACTATTTTTTAGTAAAAAATTAACCGATAATGGTTATTAATTGTTTTTCAAATTAATTTAATATCGCTTGCAGTGAATGTGAAAATGTTCTTTGTGTCATTGCCGGTTTCCTAGTTTAATGAGTTACGGGTAGGTTGTCTCTAGTCAATATTATTTATTGTAGATTTTTGTATGTTATAGATATTTACTTGTAAAACAGATTTGTATTATTTTTGGCTGGAATAATGATATTTACATTTATGTTGGGCGAAAAATATGCTCCAGTTTTATGAATTTGATGGGGAATGTGACGCGTAGATAGGGCGAAGTATCCTTTTTCCGTGCGTCCCCGCCTCAAAGGTAGTTGCATCTGTAAATGCGTATGCCTAGGGGCACGAAGTTTCGCTATTTTGGCGAACTCCGTACCCGTTTGCTGGTTTGTCACCTTCTGGTGTCTACTGAAGCTTACTAAAGAATCGGAACAGTTGTTTTTGAGTTATTTCAAGCTGTACAAAAATACAAATCTTTCCCTTTTACGATACTTGTTAGTTTATCGAATCTGTTTTACAAGTAAGAGAAGGCGGACACCTTTGACTAAACTATCGCACAACAGTTGTGCGATTGTCGATTGTTCCGCAGCACATTCAACTGTTATTTGCAACTAAAAATCGAGATATAAGCTCATAGGAATCAAAGCGAGACAACAGTTGTGTCATAGTTTAGTTTCAGGTGTGCGCACACTGTAAACGTTTGTATTTGTTGTATTCTGTTGGAACCAATCCTCGATAATCTGTAGATATGAAAATGTATTAATTGTATATGTAAGTAACCATACATTTTTGCCATATTTATGTTAATTTTTGTATGCATTTGCTTATGTATTTGCTGGCCTAAAGTCTTACAGACTTAATAATAGACGCGGTATAAATTTAAACTAAGGAATAAATTGAGTATAAGCAAAATTTGTTCAAGTATTTACTAATACAGTAGGACCTCGATAACTTAAAAACCTCCATAACTTCAAATAATATGTTCCCTTCCCATCAGAGCCCGAAACCTCTACAACATAGACCCTTGATAACTTAAAACCTCTATAACTTAAAATATTTCGTGTTTCCTTTGGACTTTAACTTATCGAGGTACTACTATACTCAGTTTATTCCTAAGTTTAACTTTATACTGCGTTATTGTAAGCAAGTTAGTAATTTTTAGAGAATATAAGGGAAATGCGATCTTTTGATATGTTTGAGGAGTAAAAGATTTTTGTTTCCTATTTGATGTTTATATGAATGAGTACAATATCTTGTTAATGAATTGACAGTTTTCTTTTTTTTTTTTGTTAAAATGCCAGTGTTAAATGCTAGCCAATACATAAATAAATGAGACGTGAATTCCTATTATGAGAGTATCGGTTAGTCTGTTTCCTCTGAAATATAATCTCAAGGGTAATAAATATCCGAGTATATTTCCTGTAAAATATCTAACATTCCTTGTAGACAATCTTTATCATATTTATGTTATCTATTTAAGTATTAGCTACATATTTACACGTTTAAAATAATTTCTGTTAAGGAAAAGGTTTTTCTTTGAATACTAAGGGTTGTTCCACCTCTGGCTGATAAGGCTCAGATAGCTTAAATGACGTCACTGACATAAAATAACTAAATCCGATATTTCCGTTGTTATCAGACAATTTGGTGTGACAGACCCTAACATTTCTGACTAGTGACTCGCGACTTCCTCCGCATTTTGAAAAATAATAAAATATAGCCTATGTTACTCACAGATAAGTTACCTTTCTAATGGTGAAAGAATTTTTAAAATAGTTTTTGCGTGAATCAAATACATATAAATATACCAAAATGCAAATCTTTCCTCTTTATAATAGTGTAGATGACAGTTAATGGCTATTCAGAAGGTATTAGTCACAGGAGGCGTACTTAAACATTTATAACCTTTAGGGGTTAGAGTTCAGGGGAAGATATCGACTAATCCGAAAGTATCTCATAGGTGATTTGAACAATAATGTTATTTGTTTACGTTTTAAGTATGAAAGTTTATATGAAATTGTTGTATAATTCTTTTGATTACGTTTATAAATATTATATTTATTTTATTTTTGTTATGTGTAAAATTTTAACACCATATAGTACCTTTCAGATTTGTAAATGATATATTTTATGCTAAATATGTAAGCGATGTGTAGAGATTTTGTTGAATAAATGTAATGTTTCAAATGTTTGACCTTTTAATATATCTACCCTTATTTTTATTTTATGAGCGTTGAGTCGAAAGATCGTCGGTGACTCAGGGGTTTAAGCACTTGACTTGTAATCAACATGTCAGGTTCGAATGCCGCCATCTAGCAATGTGATTTACGAATTTCATATTCACATAATTTACCCGACATTGTTACGGTGAAAAACGTAATGCAACCTGCACATGTTGAAAAATTCAAAGATATATGTGAAGTCAACGCGCGCGGCCAGCGTGGTTGACTATGGTCCAGCCAATCCTTGTTTTGGGTAGGCTCCGAGCCCCTCAGTGAGGACATGTGGTGGTTCAGATAAAAAGAAAAATTCCAATCATACAAATGTTTAACAAAAGTATCTGAGAAATTCATTTATTAAAAATACTATTACAGTACAGCAATCAGTGTTTCAATGAAGTTTCATTATCATTTTGAACGAGTTACGCTCCAATAATCCGTCCCGAGCTAAGAAGTTAGCCGGCGTAAGAACTATATTGTTAGTTGTAGAGTTCAGGTCAGTGCGTCTGTACGTTGTGCTAACGAGACTGCAGATAATAAAGTCTAAGTTAACGTTCAATACCAATTGCATTGTTATTGAACAGGGCTGTCACATTTCTCAGTTTATTCAACTGGATTTGGCATCTATGGGAACTCTCAATTGGATAAAACAATTATTGGATGTCGACAAGTTATCGTCGATTAGATTTGGTTGGTCGTCATTTTTTTAAATCCCAGTTCGGATCTATCTTAACTAAAAGTTGACATCCCTAAGAACTTCTGTTATATCGCAGCCTAACGACCAATTAATATGTTTTAAAGCTTGTCTTTTATTGTTATTGTCTTACAACGTTGTTATTGTTGAGACAATTGTTTCTGTATTAATTTTCGATCATCCTGGCGACAATTGCAAACATACTTTCTAATTATTATTTTTAAAAATGTACGTATAGAGTTTCGCGAGATATTTATGCTGTGTTTTCACAATAATTATAAATGTAAATAAGTCATGAAAAAGCATCAATTACAGAAACATATTTTTATCTCTGTTTTTTTTTTTTCATAGAGAAATCACCCCTCTCGGAATGTCAATAATTTTAGTATAGTCATACTGAATAAATAAGTATACGTTTTTTATTATATACAAAACTTGTATATGTAGGTCGTCGATTTGAAAAATATACACATCACATACACACATCCGTTATGATCGGAAGTATGCGTACAGACAGGCTTACATTTGCTTACCCAAAAGTTTAAGTACTTGGTTAATGTATCCATATTTATGCATCTGACTGTACATTCTACAAAATGATCGCTTGGTTTAAACGCAATACAGAGTAATATTTAACGACAAAGACACAAAATGTTTTGATGATTGTGCGGCGTTTAATATCGCTCGCCTGAGAGTTATGATCACTTAGTCGTAAAACGAACGGATTTCTATGGTTTACGTGACTTTAATGTCGCTGTCATGTTTCGGCAAGATGTGCCTAAAAATAGAAACATTCAATCTAACATTTTTCCCTTAAGAAGTTCAAGGTTTTAATAAGTGTTTGTTAATAATTCATATTATCTACCAGCAATGAGACGTAAAATCCCGAAAAACTAAAATTACAATTTTTCTGACAGTGAAAATTACTTTTATGTTTGACTAGCTTTCGCCCGCGACTTCATCTGCGTGGAAAAAAACAAAAGCAAGTAGCCTATGTGTTCTTCCAGAGTACGTTCTACATCTATGCCAAATTTCATCCAGATCCGTTCAGCCGTTTAGGCTACAACCTCTAACAAACATCCATCCATCTAAACTTTCGCATTTATGATATTAGTAAGATTATATCCCTCGTTATATCTTCTTTCTTGGAGTTATAAATTACAAATTAAAATGTTTGACTTAATAGTAATAAAACATAGGTAACAGTTTGACTTTGACGGTCTGTAGCGGACTTAATACATGTGCTTAAAAATGACTGGCAAATATATTTTAAAAATATTATTACCGCCTACAATAGCCATTTCCATTTTAGACAAATTCTTGATACGTTGATGGTGTTTAAGTTATGTTTTAATGGGTCCGGACGCATTAATTTCACGACATCTCATCAAGGGTTAATGGGGGAGAATCGCGATCTGTTGCGCCACTGCCTTGTCTTTCCCACCCTCTCACACCCTACAACCCTCCACGAGATACGGTCAGTTCGCTATCAACCCAGTCGACGACGGACGCTTTCGACTGTAACTTTCCTGGACTTACCCGCGTTGTCAATTCTCCCGCCTTTTTCACTTTACACAAACTTTTCCGTAATAAAAAGTGATTTAAACAAAATGTTAATTGATGTCTTTTTAAATTTAACACTGTTTAAAATTAAATAAAAAAGAAACTTTCAACAAATTGTGTTTTTATAACTTTAAAATGAATTTTCTAATTTTTCTTTTTATGGTTATAAATGAGACGATTTGTGAGCGTATAGTTTATAACATTGGTGTACTAATGGCGTCTAGGTTAGACTCACCTTTCGACCTGGAGCGTTGTGGGCCAGCAGTGGACATCGCTTTAGACGTAATTAACGAGAAGTTTCTAGCGCATCACAATATCGAGCTGAAAAAGGTGCAAGGCAGGTAAAATCAAATATAATTTTAACTAAATACCGGGCAAATTAGAACAAATTTCCCGTGTTATAACATCTGTACGTACTTTTCATTTAATATGTACTGTAAATTATTCTAAAACCAACAAATTATTATTCTAAAGCTGGCATAAGTTCATAATTAAGTTGTTATAACAACCAACTACCTTCTTTATTAGAATAAAGCAATAAAATATATATTACTTATTGGAACTTCATTACAATTTACTATTGTACACAGAACCAAAATTTCCCATGTGGATTTTTGTTGGTTTCCGACTGGACCCGCGGCATTCCCTAAAGCATAAAATAAAATCTGTCGCACTCAAGAAGGACGTATCGAGAGTTCTTTAAAAAATAAATAAATTCAATCAAAAAACAAACATTTTTAAAAGATAAGACACATAAAGGTTTCGACAGACATTTAATTTTTATATTGACGGAATTGCCTTGTCTTGTTCCCAATACCTTTAATAGGAGACAAATCTTACTAATTTTATAAATGCGAAAGTTTGGTTGGATGGATGGATGTTTGTTAAAGTTTGTAGTCTAAACGGCTAAACGGATCTCGATGAAATTTGTCATAAATATAGAGGATAGCCTGGAAGAACATATAGGCGTGAGTAGCTTGATTTTTTGACCGACTTCCCAAAAGGAGGTACTCAATTCGTCTGTATGTTTTTTTTTATGTGTGTTACGGCACAACTCCGCCGCTAGTGGACCGATTTTGATAATTCTTTTTTTTAATTGCAATCGGGCGGAGTCGCGGGCTAAAGCTTGTAAATAATTGCAATATTTAATCGTACTAAATAACATACAGTCGTAAATAAACAAAAGAACAATACGTTAGTAAAGTTTAAATAAGCCTTATTTAGTTAATATAGGTCAATGGGTTCGTGTGACGGGTTCATACCCTTTATCAGACGATATGTGACACCAAAGCCGTGTAACACTACGTAACTTTAGGGTAAAGTTATTTCAAGAGAATCTTAAGTTCCCTAGGTTTTGTCTTATCCGGTGAAATGAACTAATAGTAGTTACTTACGCTAAAGTTACTTGGAGTTTTGTGTTAGCCTGGCTTTACTTTATGCAAGTAATTTAGATTGATTACCGTAAATAATAAACATGAAAAGCTACCATAGAATTACATATCTAATGAATAGTACAATAAAATAGAATATTTATAGGTATTAGGTAACCGGAACCAATGGCGATTAGAGTGGGGGCCCTGATCGTTCATTAAAATGGTCCTGGTCCTATGTTGCCATAACGCTGCGGAACATCAGGCAATGTCCTGTATTGTCTCGTAAAGTGCCCAAGGTTCTGGTGAGTTTGCACTATGGGCTAGCCACCGAAGGGGGTTTTAGTGGGTACAACCTCACTTAACCCTGTCTTCTCCCCAGAAGGAAGGGTATCTTTTTAAGATTCCCTTCCCCCCCCCCCCGATACAAAAAAGGTATTAGGTAACAGAAATAGGCCTGTGACGCAATTTGCATATGTGCCTTCAAGCCGAATGATATTTGGTAATTCATATGTCGGATTCCTTCGCAAAATCTAGTCTTAGATGTCCTAAATATTCATTAGAGATTGTATAATTTATATTACAACCAGTGAGTTGAAACGTACGATTTCTTTACGGCTTCACTGGCGTAATGAGAATTTTGCATACAAAATGTATTCTTTGTTGGCCTATTGTCATAGCTTGACCCCTGTTATTTTGAGGTGTAATAAAAACGATTAATATCTTAATCCCAATTTTATTACACAATTGATATGGACCATGTTTTAATTAGTTTTAGACGAATTTAAAATTGTCATTTATTTATTATTTTATTTTGTTTCTTTTAATTACTTTTGCATAAAACTACGATACTTAAAAGCACATAATTCTCAATGCAAGTGACGACACTTTCTTCTAAGACTAACTTACAATTTGTTTTCATTTTTATTCAGCTCAGAAAATATGAATTCAGTGATATAAATGTTATACTTTAGAAGCTTTCTAAAGTGATTTTCTCAAAGAATTTTCTCTGTAATTCTGGAGCTTTCAAATACAAAGGGCTCATTTTATCTAAGAAACAGGAAATTAGGATGAGAAAACTTATTAAAGGTGAAAAATGTATCAAAACGGAATAAGAACTTTCGTTTATACAGTTTAAAGAACAAAAGATATAACTTTTTATAATCAATTGTCTTTACAAAAAGGAAAGATTTATTCAAAAGTAAGAATCTACTGAACGAAGGCATAATCTCAATTTATTAACTATGGTTTAAGAAAGTGTACAAAATCACTGTGTAAACTGTCATAATTCCTATTATTATTAAAAAAAAAATAATTTTGTATTGTTTACGTCATGTATGTTCATCAATTGTGCCAGTTACCCTTCGTGCTCCGGCGCCATCGCCCCAGGCCTGGCGGCAGACATGCACTTCAAGAATGACGTGATAGCTTTCGTGGGCCCCGCCTGCGCCTTCGCCTTAGAGCCCGTCGCAAGACTTGCCGCCTACTGGAACACGCCCATAATCACCGGGATGGGAGACCAGGTTAGTTTTACACGCCTCTCTACTATCGTCTCAACAAAGCCGACGGGTTCTCCAGGTCTGTGAATTCCACATTTATATGTTAACCTCCCTCCTCGCAGAGCTAGTAAAAAGGGGGGCGCAGTATAAATCTCGCCCAGAGCGCTAGTAGTACTGGAACCAGAATTGCGTCTTATGAAATGATTGTACAAAATTAAGTTGCGACTAGAGTCGACCGGCAATTCGTTGTTGCTTATACTAATATTATAAGGTGGAAAGATTTGTATTTTTGTATGTATTGATATAACTCAGAAACTACTGAGCCGATTTTAAAAATTCTTTTATCATTAGAAAGCTACGTTATCAGTAACAAAGGCTATATTTTTAAATTTCACGTGGACGGAGCAACAGGTACTTGAAATAAAAGACGCGGCATAACTACTCTACTCTATTAGTAGAAACAGTCATGGTTCTATATTTTTAACTGCCTTTTCAGTAGTAATAGTAATACCATAAGTACATAGTATTACTACTATTATTTTACTACCAGTAGGTAGTCACCAGTATATGGTATTACTTATTACTGATAAATAAACGTAAATTAATTAAAGTATGTATATTTATGTGTAGAATTCTTTGGAATTAATTCTGATAGCAGTCATTACATGCTAAGCGTCGGTTCGCATGTCTAATGAGAAGCAACGGACACGCTATCAGCTATCTTTGCCATTGTCAAGGTCCATTTAAATGTTATTTACTTGTTTACGTGAAAACATCCATTAAACGAAGTCTCAGGAGTATTGTTAGGTAGTCTTGCTTTCGCTGAAAATAGCGTTCGGTAAGTATGTCTGGTATTTTCATATTCAATGCTTTTGGCAATTTAGGTTAATTATATTTATGTGCATGATTGAATATGTAAGAGAAAATATATGTTTGATGTGGACTAGAAAGAAAAATTAGTTAAAACCCTTTGATGTAAAACACACTGATAGTTATAATAGGAAATCCTAAAAAGATCAACATAATAGCGTCTTAAAAAATAAGAATTAGATTCCCGCAAAAAGTAATGTAATTTTGTTCAGAGTTTGTTACATTTTCCAGGATGTTGGAAATTCGTAAACGGAATTGAAGTTCGTCGTAGCGGTGTTGCATCTAAAAAAAAATCTCAGGGTAGCTAAAAAGAAACAATTTCGTGATGGTGAATTCAAAAGGACATAAATATATACCATACCATTCGGGATACGAGATGTCATGTGAATGAAAGTAAGGATTGTGTGAAAGCATATATGTGTAGTTACGATGAGAATAAATTCAAATACATCGGCTGATGTCCGTAGGGACAAGTGCTTGTTTATGATGAGTTTAAAAGTAAAACTCCAAAAAATATAAGACCTTTATTATGACATATTTGTATCATAACCTCACTTGATTTGAGTTTAACGAGTTTATAGAACAGTACAAACTTTTTTACACCATAGCCACCGTCAGAAGGCGAGCTGGCAGCTCCGGCCAGCGTTGTCAGTCGGATGCACAGACTTAGGAACTTGCGAAAAGGGACACGCGTAAGTGAGCTTTTGTTTTGTCACGAGTTTATTAAGCTTATCAGTTTAAATGTATTAATATTTGAAACTTTATCACAGCCCCAGACGTTGTTCAATGATAAAGGCAAGTACCCGACGTTGACGCGGATGTCGTACTGTCAATGTCGATTGCCGCGCGTCTTTACCAGCGTTTTCGACCGCTTCGGCTGGGCTCACGTCGCGCTACTCCTAGACAAGTCTGATCTATTCTCACTTACTGTCGGTAAGTCTGTTTATTGATGGGTTAGTTTATATTACGAATTGTTTTGCAGTGTGAAGTGGTTTACACCGTGGCATAATGCAAAAGAATGAAATCAACAAATGCCAGTACCTGGCCAAGCAATTATTGTTTAAATATAATGCTATTATGTTATAGTAATTACGTCCTATCTTTTATATCCCCAAATAGGTAATGGCGAATCAAATTAAACGTGTTTACTAGATAATGAAGCGTTGATTATTCGGCGACCGCTCAGCCGTGAGATGTTACATCACTGTTTATTTAGGCAAGAGTTATTTCGAATAACTATTTGTTCTCAATATTATCGAGACAATATTTAGCCGATAGAATTTGTAGTGCCTACTTTTTTTGGTTTTTACCATTTAACATGTCAATTTGGAGTTAAATTTATTGCTATAGGTAAGAGTTTAGAATGGGGTCTACGCAAGGAAGGTGTGCTGAAGGCGGTTCGGGAACTGGACGGCAATGAGAAGGAATCGTGCGAGGCGTTGCTACTTGACGTCAGCATGTACGCTAGAGGTACAAGCCTTAATCCTCTTTTCCACTAGAGCGACTAGCTCTTAAACAGATATGTCATAAGTACGCGTATAACGCCAGGTTGTACAAAACAAAAAATAGCAGTCACTCGGCAAGAATCGAACGGCTAATAGTTCAGTGAAAAAGGGGTCTGATTGCAATCGTCTGAAAGCATTTACGTTTGCACAGTGTCTGTAATGTTGTATTAAGGGGACTGGTTGCTTGCCTTTTAGGATAATGAAATATGTTTTGTTGAGTTCCTGTGTAATATTACTTAAAAAAAGTTACGACTTAAAAAGTGTTGGTCAGTCCTTTATTGTTTTTTCCAATCAGAATTGATCAGTAAAGGTTCCAATAGCATAAACGATTCAGTAACTGTTAGAGACTAGGGTTCCGTTCGATCTCGTATCCTTTGCATTCCCAGATTAAGCCATCTCTGTCAGTGCCCGGGGTGATTGTAGTAAGAATATATTGTTGTAGTTGTGATCCTGAGCGTGCGCGGCTCTCTGGTTCGAGAATTCCTGCTGGCTGCGCACGCGCTCGGCATGACGCGCGGTGACTGGGCCTTCCTCGATGTTGAGATATTTCAAGTAAGCACCTCTGCTACGATATAAAACAATGGCTCGCCTAGCAAAGCCGTGAAATAGCTGCAAGACTACAAGTTAACTAAACTAAGCATATATGATCAGGGCGGGTACTGGGGTGAGACGGGTTGGGAGGCGGGTGACGAACGCGACACGGCCGCGCGAGCCGCCTACGAGGCTCTGCTGCGGGTGTCGCTAAAGCTGCCTACTGGCGACCGCTTCGATGAGTTCGCGGACACCGTGCGTACACGAGCCAAGGACCACTACGACTACAGCTTCTCTGACGGAGAAGAGGTAGCTATTATAACCTTTACCAGTGGTTTCCAAAATGGTCAATTTGAGGGTCAAGGAAGATTTGCAGGAAATGTGTGACAGCGGGAAATAATGATAGAGGGTCTGCAAGCTAATATGTTGCTGCCAGGGTTTCACCGGAGCAGAGATGTTTTTTAATTTGAATTTAAATGGGTACACGATAATTTACAACAAGCTGTAACATTACAACTGTGATGAAATGTGTAAATAAAACGGTTAGTCATAAATATCTTAAGGAATCATTATTGTCCTTAGGTGAACTTCTTCATTGGTGCATTTTACGACGGCGTATACCTCCTGGGTATGGCGTTAAACGAAACTCTGACCGAAGGTGGGGATATAAGAGATGGCAGAAATATAACGCGTCGTATGTGGGGGAGAGATTTTCATGGTAAGATCAACATTAAAAAAATATATAATTATAATACCATTTAAAATACTATAAACAATCGATCCAGCATAGACGAAAGTGGAGGCGGCTTTATAATATGATTATTTTCAATTTAAAATCAATGAAATATCAAAATGCTTTTATTTTTTTAATACTAATTGTGTGACACTTCCTTTCAATAGTTACTATTTTTTAGCTATAAAATCTAAATTACAAATGAAGACATACAAAAAGGGTATTAAATACACTTTGCTAGAGAACTGTATCTACTTAGAATGAAAACCGTTCTCACGTACTCGATCTGCACGGAGCTGAGATAAGGTGATTACGATTGTTCGGAATAAAATCGATTTCGTCCACTCGACTAGTACAACTTAGTATAGTCACAGTGCTTGTATGTTACTAACGAGCTACATTCTTTTAAAGTGAACCTATTAAGGGACAATACTCTTCGACAGTTTTAAGATCACCGCTTAATAGAACTGCAACATACCGTCTTAGCGCTGCGACTACGCGTCTTCAACCCGTTAACTGCGCGTGGTTATACAGTAAAAACCTTAAAAACAATTTTCATTTCGTTCAGGTATCACGGGTCACGTGAGAATAGATCCCGTAGGAGACAGGGATGCAGACTACGCGATATTGGATTTGGATCCTGTAACGGGAAAGTTTGAGGTTAATCTTTATTATTTCTTCATTAAAAAGAAAAAAATGTTTTCATGACACCTACGTACATTAAAGTTTAGTTTAGAATGACAACTGGATAATTTTACCGCCAGAAAATAAGTATCTAAGTTTTTAGGTAATTTTAATAATATTCAAGTTATTTAATTTAAAATTAATATCTCTAAAAGAAGGCTAATATGTAACCAATGTTGGTTAGGTGGTCGCGTTCTACTACGGGTTGAACAGCAGTTATCGTCCGGTGGCTGGCAAGGCGATACACTGGCCTGGAGGACGCCGCGCGCCGCCGCCCGACACACCGCGCTGCGGCTTCCTCGGTACTGACCCTATGTGTCAGGGAGGTTAGTATTGGTAACACTTATCTGATGATCTTACTAATATTATAAATGCGGAAGTTTAGATGGATGGATGGATTGTTCGAGTTTTTTTAGAATTTGGCATGAATTTTGAGTATAGTATGGAATGAGACATAGGCTACTTACTTTCGTTTTTTTTTAATTACACGCAGACGGTGTCGCAGGCGAAAGAGAAATCTATTTTCGTCTTAAACGACGTATTCTTGTTTGGTAGTCATTTCTGGAAATAATCTCTACGGTACATAACGTTATGAGCATTTTTAGTTGGTAAGCGATAAAAAAAATGAGTTTTAAAACCTCGTCGCCTAGTGTGATACTTACCTAATTCATTGTATTATCTGAAAAATATTTTCTTCAACTCAAACATGACCGGTCACATTCTTTAAATGAATAAACAATTTCTCAAACCTGTTTAATGCAATGAGATAAAAGTTAAATAAGTTATCTCTAAGTGATCTCATTTATAAGGATTAAAGTAATAAATAAAACAAGATAAACTTAAGCTGGGAAATATTTTACTTATTAATTACATTAATTAAAATGAGGATGTTCTCAGCTTGAATACGAAACTTCATATAAAATGACGCTCCCAACGGATTTATGTTTTGTTGTTTATAATATTGTGGAATTTAAATCTTAAGTAACGCCGGACGGCGGGACGTTACTTCCAACGGACTTTGTAAAGCAATTTGCATGAAGTTTATGAGCAAAGTTATAATAAACTATGCAATCAAGGAAGCCTTAATGAATAAAGTCTTAATATATTTAGTCAATAAAGCTTATTATCGGAAACTTCCTTTTTTGGTTAAAGATGTCATTGATGCGTTTTAAATAATTCGAAAATTGGTACCAGGATTGCATTTATATACCTAAGATTTTTCAAAATCTCTCACTTTTATCTTAGAGGTTCAATAAGTAGAATATAAAAGTAATCAACAATATTATATTCTATAACAATTAATAAGTAAATATTCAAACATGGCGGCCATTACGCTATTGTGTATTTTCATTGTAATTTTATGGAAATTGGGAGATAGTGAAGTGAAATTGTAAATTGCTATTTACTAGTTTTGACATAAAGGATGCTATATTTCAATAATTAGTTACTGAAAATGTCTTAGATCTGTAAAAAATTGTATTTCCTTTTTGACCGGATTTCCAAAAGAAGGGGGTTTCAATTCTGTACAACTATGTATTTTTTTCTTGTTCCCTTTATGATAATCTTAAATTTCTTTAACGTTGATTAGTTTGGTATTACATATAATGATAAAAACGTTTATATGTTTGCTAATTTGCACGCTGCTAGAAGCGCAAACAGTTATTATATACTGTTTTATCGGACTGGCGTTGTTTCTGATGTTCGCGGTAACAGCCGCGTGTATCGCGTACAAGTAAGTTATGATACATCTTAATTAAAATCTATGTATCGCTTCTGGCGCAGTGAGGAAACATTCAACATGTATACGATATAATGGAAGACATTTCCTTGTTTCTTTAACGAGTTTAACTCTGAAATTGTATAGTTAAAATGATTGTTTTAAGGACAGTAAATGATTGTGTTGTAGTAAAGGTTTGTACCTTTTAAAGACATTCTTAGAACGGTTTAATATGAGTACCAGTTATAGCTTCAGGTTTCCTTAGTGATCAATTATGTTGTTGATGCAGACAAGCGCGTATTGACGCGGAGATGAACAACATGGCGTGGCGCGTGCGGCCAGAGGAGGTGTTGTTGGAGGTGGGCGCGCTTGGCGCTAGTCCCGCTCTGCATAGTCTCAACGAGGTCCTTAAGGTAACATAGAAGTACATAAGTTCCTACATGCACCTAAACTGATGGATAAGATATGATACAAGTAGATATTAACAGGAGGGATGAGCTATAATTTTAGTCCCTTTCCCTTTCCACCCTTTTCTTAAGAGGAAAGGATGGCAAGGAAAAGTGAATTTGACGGTAGAGGAGACGCATAGGAAGGGGAAATATCCACTTTATATGCGTCTCCCCCTCTGGGTAGGCAACGCATTTACAATTGCGGATGTTTATGGGCAGCGGTCGCTTTCCATTTCGGTGGATTCAGGTGGCCGCATGCTCGTTTGCCACCTTACATTATATAAAAAATATAAGTTTTAATCTGGATCTGAAAGGTCTATTTTAGTGATATACTCGTACATACGACAAAACTCTTTGAATCGTGCCAGAGTAATAAGAGTGTGAAAGCTAAGGTTACGGTTTTGAATCTGCTTTCACATTTAACTATTGTGGACCTGCTAACACAAGACATTTTTTTTAATTCTTAAGAACTATTTACTATCTGTTTAATCAGTAATTTGCGAAAAATATTCTTTGTTAGTCTGTTAAATATCAAACAGAAAAGAATTTTCATTATAAAATCTTGCTAACAAAAAGCGGTGCCTTTATCTAAAGTAAAAAAAGAAACAGTCCAGTATTTGTTTAGTTACAAAACTACGTTTTTTACCTTGACATTGTTAGGAAATTCTATAAGTATGTACGTAGTGAGACAAAGTCACCTTGGAAAGTTTGAGGCTACAATTTTGTTTTGCGAATTCATCTCGATGTTTGCTAAAAATCTAGGATACAACATTTATTTATAATATTTGTATATTTAAATTCTTGTTTTTAAATCGATGGTTATCTATACGTAATTTTAAAGTGGAAAGATTTGTATTTTTGGATTTTGTATGTATTAAATGTAATGTAATGTAAAAACTACTGGGCCGATTTCAAAAATTCTTTCACCATTAAAAAGCTACGTTATCACTGAGTACATAGGCTCTGTTTTTTAATTCCACATGGACTAAGTCGCAAGCAATAGATAGTTTTGTATAATGACAATACTTATGTTAAGTATTAAGAAGGAAGTATTAGTAATAAATTCAGGCCACGTATCAGTTTTCGGTAGTTATTGATAGTATTAGGAGTATTACATTACAATAAGGAGCCGTTATCTGAAATAATGGTAGCATTTTAAGGTTATACTCTACCTAAACGCTTTCTAAATGACTTTATCTTGTTTTATAGAACATAAATAAACTAGATAATTATGTTTTTGCAATGTTGTAGATGTTTATGCAATGAAAACTCACTGTAAATAAACACGAGGAAGAACAAATAAAAACTTGTAAAGATATTATAAAGTAAATTATAACAACGCACGAGAGAGAAGTTATCGAGAATAAGTTACAACTTCCTTATCTTGTTATAACTTATGTGATAAAGTGATACTGCTTATTTATATGAACAAAATAAATAATAGCTTCAAGCTTTCAAAATTATTATCAATTATTACGCATAATTAAGGTAATTTTCAATATAATATTTATTGTTAAAATAGCAGCAGCATAATCATACTAATCAACAAGAATATCGTCTTATAAACCTTTCTCATTGCTTAATTATATTATCAAAATGCAGGCGCTCATAAAATCTTCAGCACTCTTATAAAATTTATGTAAAACGTCTGGTATTTTAGTGCACAAAAATGGTAATATTCCGTTTAATTTGTAACCGTGAGACAGACAGTTGCCGGCGACCCCTAGTAAGGTTCAATTTGTTACCATAACCATTTCCAATCCTTTAACACATGACTATTGTTATCCCTCTTTTCTCTTTGTAATGACAGAGACAACTATATTTCGTAAAGGTGTAAATTTACTGTAAGTTATTCTCTTCTGCGGGCGTTCATTTCACTTACGGAATTTAATATCTTGAAGCTTGCAGTCTTATTAAATCGCGGTATTACCTTGTCACATTAAATTAACACCCTCGTGATATCAATTTTGTAAGGTCTTTCTACGTGAAGTTACTTTATTTTATTTAATAAGGTTACATGTTACTTTCTGAAAATCTTTGTAACTCCGAATTATCTTACTAATATTATAAATGCGAAAGTTTAGATGGATGGATGTTTGTTTGCGTTTGTAGCCTAAACGGCTGAACGGATCTCCATGAAATTTGGCACAGATTTAGAGCATAGTAGGGAAGAACACATAGGCTTCTTTTTATCCCGGGAATAGTAACAGTTCCCGTGGGATTCATTAATTTAGTTTTTGACCGACTTCCCAAAAGAAGGAGGTATTCAATTCGTCGGTATATTTTTTTTTTTTTTTTT